CAATCCAAAGAACAATGCGTTAGTTTCTTGGGTGAAAAGTTTCGCGTCGTATTTACTCTTTCACCATCCTATTCTCACAAACAAGCTGGTGAACATATATTAAAAAAAGTGATATTGGTTCATCTCAAGTATAATCGAGATAAGTTTAATCTTTTGATGTAGGTAATACGTTTAAACGTAAATATTGATATAATGGGATATTTGAATTGATATTTATATATTTCACGCACCTATAAAAGCTTCATGGTCCGCAAGCTGTACTCTCTTGTTGCTGGTGAATGTTCCCCAGATAACCCAGATTCCCCGCAAAACCAAGAAATTCTTCTGGGCGGACATCTTTATGGGATGCTTATTAAAGAGAAACTTGGTGACTGCTTAAATGCTATCCGTGCAGTAATCACTGCAGACGTCGGTAATAATAGGCCGGTGGATTTCAACGATAGTATGTGTTATATTGCATTATTATGATTATTTCGCTTAGTGCTATTAAGTCTATATTTGTATGACCTTTTTTTTTTTTAGAAAAATATATCTCTAATGTATTCAATAGATCAAATATAGAAATTGGAAGAAGGTTGGCATATTTTCTTGCTACAGGAAATCTTGCTTCTAGCAGTGGATTAGATTTGATGCAGGTACACCTCAAACTTTCAACCATATTTAAATTTCAATATTTGTCTCAACAATATATATTTGTAATTTGTATTTAAAGACTACTGGCTATACTATAGTAGCAGAAAAACTTAATTTTTATCGCTATATCTCTCATTTTCGGTGTGTTCATCGTGGATCTTTCTTTACTCAAATGAAAACAACCACTGTACGGAAACTTTTACCAGAGTCGTGGGGTATAAATAGACATTAATCTGCATAAAGTCATTTAATATTACTTGTAGAGTTGATTCATTTGAATCAATTAATTGGCCAAGCAGGGTTTATTTGTCCAGTACATACTCCGGATGGTGAACCATGTGGATTGCTTAACCATCTTTCCCACACTTGTAGGATTATTACCAACAAGCCTAACGTGGAGATGATTCCAACAATATTGGCAGAAATGGGTATTATAAACAGATTAACAACAGGCACCCGTGATACTAAAAAAAGTTTTTTATGTGTGCAGTTGGATGGAAAAATTTTAGGCTGGTGTGAAACGGGACATGCACAATCAATCGTGAATAAGCTGCGGTTGTTAAAGTTTGAAGATGAGGTATAAAAAAATTAATTTTACATTATAATTAGTTATATCACATGTATTAAGCTGTAGCTGTGCTATTTAGATCTCTATTGACTTTGAAATCGGATATGTTCCTCCTTCTAATGGTGGACAATATCCAGGCATTTACTTGTTTTCTGAACAATCGCGTATGATGCGACCTGTCAGATATCTTGTCAATAATGAAATTGATATGGTCGGATCATTTGAGCAGGTATCATTATATATTCCGTAATGAAATGTAGATTAAACGCTTTAATTAAAATCTATTTTTTATTTATTTTATTTTTTTTTGCAAAATAGGTATATATGAATATTGCGTGTTTACAAGAAGATATCATCAAAGGTGTAACAACCCACATAGAGATTGAGCCTACAAGCATGTTAAGCATTCTAGCTAATTTAACACCATTTTCCGATTACAACCAAAGCCCTCGTAATATGTATCAGTGTCAGGTAAAAATTCAACAAACAAAATACAGTCAAACATCTCTAAATTTACGCCCCGAGACCGGAAGTAAGTGTGCATTTAAAGGTGTACGATTATAGAAAATTCAACTAGCCAACCAGAAGAAAAATATATTCATGATTAGCTCAAATCTCTTTAAGTTCACGCCCTTAGAACGAAAAGATGTGCATTTAAAGAGAGCATAAATTCTTATTTAGTGGTTAAATATCACGTGCATGCATTTAGAGAGGACACATTCAAACCTCTATAATTGCAATCCCTTCTCGTGATTACAAGATTAATTTTTTAATGTTCATTTAGAGGTGCGCGTTTATAGAGGGCATTTTCTCTATGTTTTTTTAGGGGGATTTATATAGTGAGTGCCATTATAAGGTTTGACTGTATATGTGCTTGGGTTTTAGAAACTTATGCACGTGCAGAAAGTAGAGATGTGTACTTAACACTAAGTTTCGAGCTTGGGGCCAGGCTTAAGTGTAATCTAGAGAGTGTGGTTTGTAGGGTTGTTAATGGAGTGCTCCAGTTAATAATAAAACATAAAACCCACTACGGGGCATTCAGAAGCGGGTTATATGTTTTATTATAGTTTGGGGTACACCATTAACAACCCTAGCGGTTTGACTGTATATATAAATGCATGACTAGATTATTCTAATTAATCTATTCTGTAAAGATGGCCAAGCAAACGATGGGTACACCTTCGACAGCAATTATGCATCGAACGGATAATAAATTGTATCGACTTCAGACTGGTCAAACCCCAATAGTACGGCCAGTGCTTCACAGTACTCTTGGTCTAGATGGATTTCCTAATGGAACAAATGCTATTGTAGCTGTGATTTCGTATACTGGTATTGTTTATTTAAATATTAGAGCTGGTGATTGTACCCGGCATAAATTGTTATATGGTTGCCCAGAATATATATATAACTTACCTAATAGCTCAATGCTCGGATAGATATTTTCTCAACGGGTACAATCTTTAATTAACCCTTTGTAAATTTATAATTAATGAATCATATACACAATAGGTTACGATATGGAAGATGCGATGATTATCAGTAAGTCAGCTCATGAAAGGGGGTTCAAATATGGTACCATATACAAATCTGAGGTAGTTAGTCTTGATGAGAATAGGATGGTGAAAGAGTAAATACGACGCGAAACTTTTCACCCAAGAAACTAACGCATTGTTCTTTGGATTG